TTTTAAGTATCTATACAAGCATAAATGTAACAAAATTTTGGTTCAGTTAATCTAAAAAAAAAAAATTATTCAACCGGCTATTTTATTAAAAATTTATGTTAATTAATTTAATATCAAGAAACTTCTTTACATATATCTATAAAAGTATTTTCTATGAAATTTCATTTATAAAAAATTAATCTCAAATTTGTCTAGAAATCTGTAATAAAAATCTAAAGAGAGTCCTAAACAGAATGTTCTATATTTTATAAATAATTGAAAGTTGTATTGTTACATTTTTTTATTTAAACTGTATTTCTAACATGTCAACAATTAATAAAAGAAATAATCATTTTAATATGATAAATGTACTAATATTGTATTAATAAGAAATTAGACGGAAAAAGATAATTTCGTCACTCGCAAGATAAACGGAATTGACGGTTTAATGGTGGAGCAACATATTCTACGTATATTTTCCAAATCGAGTCATAACTCACATAAGATTCGATCTGACGGTTAATTTCCGCGATGAAAAAGGTGATATGCGGTAGATCATGAGCATCTAGTCAGTTTTTCTAAAAGTTTAATTAGAGCCACAGGCAATCCAATCTGACCAAATGCGTTCGTGCACGATTCTGATTTTTTCGCGTCGCCGCAGGAACGATCTCTCCGTTTCTTGTCTCTACGAAATTACCCTGAAATTTATCTCGCAAAAAGTTATATTGTCGTACATCACTTCAGTGAGTAATTGCATTAATTACAAAACGATGCGTCCCGTTTTTACTTTCGAACCTCAGTATCGAAATGTTTAGCTCTTAAAGAATAAAGAATTTTTCAGCTTTGAATCTCGCAAAATTTTTCTGTCAATAAAAAAGACGTTTCAAAGGAATAATAAGATTTATAAATAAATATAAATTGAATGTAGACGAATAAAATATTTTTTATATAAAAATAGCTAAACTGTTATATAATATGCATAATATCCTAATTTCTACATCAACCATTTATAGAATAAAGTAAATTTTAAAAAAATATGAATTTTTCTTTATGTCTTTCTCTATAATTTAAGTTCTTGCAAATATAGATTAAATGTGAAAGAACTACAGTTTTTATATACGAATAGTTGAACTATTATAAATATCTTAATTTTTATCGATTGTTTGAAGAATAAAGTAAAACTGTAAAAAAATATTTAAAAAAAAAATAAAAATTTTTCTTTGTATTTTTTTCTAATTTGTAATCCTTAAAAAAAGTCTCTTGAATAATGAAAAAAACCACAACAATGCAAGGAAAAAGTGCGCGTCCGCGAGAAAATTCATTTCTTTTTCTTAACTTACGGCACAGTAATCTTTTTCATTCTGTTAATTCATACTGTAATGTTGTTTGCGACAGAAGAAAAATCATGGATTATTTGATTACTCACGAGAGTATTTGGGTTAATTGAGGAGCTGTAAAAGCATTGTTTGACAATATAATGTGATATCTTATGCTAAGAAATACTTTTCTACAATTAGCAACAATAGTTTTTCAGTTACTTTTCTTTGACGAACTCGAAACGACAATGAATAGTACAATATAAAATAAATGATGCAAACGAACGAATATATTATTACAGGAATTCGAAAACGATATTTACTGTAAATGAAATTAAATGCAATCCTATTCAATTCCTATCGTTTCTTACACAGCCGTAGTTTGGGAGGCGATCGAAGTGTATACTTCCTTTTCTTTTTCCTTTCTTTCTTTTCTTTCGGTGAAATACATCGGAAACTCATTTCTGCTGATAACAGCTGATCCTCGAAATCGCGCGCAGCCGTTTTCCAACAAAGATTTGCGATAACACCGCCGCTCGATTAGAAAGCTTTTCGGTAAATCGTGCAAGATAAAATCGCCGTGGCATCCTTCCCTACTAAAAGGAAAACGAGACTGAATAATACTTAACGAATCCTCTCGGAGATATTCTTCCAAACCCTGTAGAGATGACAAAGGGTGGAAAAGCATCCGTGGCAATCGATTCGTCAATTGCGAGGGATCTTAAAGGATATAGCTTGTAAAAGAGCTCACGGATAGGACTATTTCTTCATAAAGTGATTGTAAAAGAGATTCCTTTTTCTTTTTAGTGACGAAGCCGGCCAAGGTCACACCGGTGGACGACATTCAGCCCAAAGAGGATTCCTCAATAATTGAATCTTTGAAACCGTAAGTTTCTAATGAAATGCAAATTCATACAAAATATGCATTATATATTTTGTATGAATTTGCTTGAATAAAACTTCTAACATATTGCTTATAACAAAATTAACCTTTGCAGAAAGTTATTATAAGCGCTAAAATAGTATCATATTATGAGACAATGAAAGCAATAAAATAAATTATAACGAATCTTATTCAAGAAAAAGAAATAAAATTTAAAATAGATTCCTCTAAAGATTAAAACAAATAATAATTAAACTTATATTTTTTTTAAACTCGTGAAAATGTTATGCATGCCAGTACAAGTCGACAATATTCATTATGTAAAAATATTTTTGAATTATGCTTTTGAACTTTGCTGTTTTATATTGATCTTAATAGCGTTAGATACACTATTTGTAATATTTATAATATTTATAACTCTAATTTTTCTTATTAGAAATTTCAAACCTAAACAATATATATTTTCTTATATTATTATTATATATATTATATATA